ACTCCCGCCCTACTTATTAATCAGCCTGCTGACATTTAGATCCTCTAAATGTTCTAACTCAACATGCTCAAGTTCACCACATGTAGGATTCTCAGAGAGTCTGTGTCATGTAAAACTACAAATAGATGTTCCTGTAAACTTGAAAGAGTTCATTAATTTATTTTTTTTACAAAGTAAATGCAAAAAATTACCCTGCCACTGTCGATCTGAGTTCATGGGAATGGTTTTCTTGTACCTTACTGTCGACGCTTCTCCCTTTTGATCCAATAATTTTCATAAGCATTTTTTTTTCCCCCTTTTCTTTCTTTAACCCGCTGTTTTGTTGCGCCGTAACCCATTTGTACACTGATGTTATTGGTTAAGACTGTTTCAATAAAGCTGTATCCTATAAACCTGTGCTTAGTATTTTTAACTCCATAGTTTATGTTGCCCTGAACTATCGAAGGACGGATAAATACATCACTGGATGAAAAACGGACAACAGGAGAGGGAATAAATTCTGGAAATAAAAATATTTTCTATTTTCCTTATCATACTTTGTCTAGACCTTAAGAATACTTGCGTTCTGTCTGTTCCTTTTCACAGCAATAAGTCACCATATTATACAATAAGAGTCACTATCAAGCAAGCATGATAAAAGGTAAACAGTTTTATTATCTTGAGCTGAATCTGTAGTATTGCCAAATGACTTGTATGGAGCAACAGGCATTCAGAAACCCGACCTGTATATTCTGTGCAGTATTCGAAAGAACATGACAAAAAAAAAAAAATGAGCAAGGATGGAGTATGAAGTAACAAATCTGTCTTTATCTCAATAAGATGTCTCATTGCTAAATTAAACATTCTCCAATAAAAATAAAAAAAAGCAGCAAATGGGAAAAACCAAGGGAAAACAGCAGACTGGATATCGCACCAACTTAGCCAAAAAAGCAGCCTTTAATTAAAAAAAATGTGTTTATATGTAGTTTTAAACCAAATAAAATTCCACTTCCAGACAAAACTAATTCCTTCTGTTTGCAACATCATTGAAATGAACACATAATTACGGTAAACAACCTGTACACCTAAACTTCTTAAAATCTTTCTTAAATTAACAATTGTTCAATTTTACAAACATGGTACGTACACATGTAAGTATAACCAGCTGTATTCAAAATAGTCACTGTTCTTATTCTATGCGACTAATAAATTTCTAATACAAAATCCTTCCAGGAGCATGCAGTAACTGTTTCCCTCCATGATGCTCGAGGGCACTTTGGCCTGGAAAGTCTTCCATGCTTTCAACACACCTGAACTGAGTTAGTGGATAATTGAAAGGCCTCTGGTGAGAGCTCCTCTAGGTCGTCGAATGAGGTGGCCTGATCGAAGCAGCGTCGCAGGTAGTGCACCAGATCAAGTAGTAAAATCATACTTAGCAATAAATCAAATGGAGATTTTGCAAGATTTTAAAGTTGTAATGAAATCTCGCCCCTTTTTTTTAAAAAAAAAAATTCTCTCACTCTTAAATTTAATTTCTAGCACACTTAACTGAACAAAAAAATTACAAAAAAAAAAAAAAAATCAGGCAGCAGCTGCAGGGTGACTTGAAGATGACTGGCATTATGTGGCATTGCTTAGGGCAGTAGATTTTAGGTAAACTTTTAACGACAACCTTCCCTTCACAGCAATATAGATTTTTTTTTAGATGGATCCGTCACAAGTCAGATCGATGCATCAAAATGTACTTTTGAAATGAGTATGTTCAGATTCCAGCACTTTCTCTTGTTTTTCTTGAATTTTCCTGGTCCCACTTACCTGTAGAAAATCTTAAAAATGTTTCTTTTATCTAAAGAAGTTGGGAGGGTAGCCTATGCAAGAACAACAGAGAGAAGCTAAGAAGAATTTTTACATCTTAAAGCTCTTTAAAACCGTTACTGCACAAATCCAAGAAACTCTGCATGCCAAAGCCACAGAAGAGACTTAAACACTGTTCTATGTGGATGGTAAATATTCTTCTTATTTCTTTGCACTTCTCTAAAATAATTATCAATACAGGTTAGTGGTGGGTCATTTTCAGTTCTGTTCATATGATCTGAAGATTGCTGCTATAAAACGTGTATCGGGGATAACGGGTCTGATATGTGCCAATCTTCATATAGTATTTAAAAACCTAAAATGCTGGTTGTACCTGTTAAAGTGGTCTTAGGATTGAGGGACATCGCTCCTCTCTAAGTACGAGTTAAGTACAGCGAAAGTCCGGTGTTGATTTTTTGTTTTTTTTGTTTTGTTTTGACGCCGTTATGCCAGGTTATGCTGGCCTTGTGCAACATTCTGCTGGTTTGGCAGTCCGTCGTGATGAGCCTGGGGTTGTCCTTGCTGAGGTAAGTCTTGATTGTGTTGCTCAAGGTGCTCTTGTGGCGTATCCTGATGGTGCTGGGGTATCTCTTGATGTCCTGGCGGGTGGGCTTCTTGATCAGGATGCAGCTGGTTGTCAGCTGCGTGGACCTCAGGGTCGGCGTTTCCTTCGACTGCGACGTAAAAAACAGTTTTATATTCGCTGCCGAGGCAGGACATTTCAACAACAACAACAACAAAATGTGCAGTCAACACTTACCGTGAACCTCTGGAGGAAGCTCGACTTTCTCTGACTTCAGTCGTTCCATATGTTCAACAGCCTGGAAAGAGTTTTGATTAGACTTTCTAATATCGGTAACAGTAATGTTAAAAACATTTGAAGATATGATGATAAAAATTGGCGTAGGGAAGATTATTTACATTGTTCAAACTTTTCCCGTAATGATTGTACTCCAGAAATATGAGATTTTGAATGCTCTTCTGAACAAAACATAGCTAATCATATCTTTAACATAACTTGAGGGAGGTTTTTACTTTTTCATTAGATTCAAAAATGATTTTGTTTGTAACCTTAGAGTATGTTAGCAAGCAAGTAAAAGGCTAAAACTGGTAGCAATTGCCAACTATGACAAATCCCACCATCCTCCTTGCAACTAAATTTTTTTTCAACAACATGAAACATGGATCCCAGGTGTAGGTGATTCTTTCAGACTCTGTTTCCACTCCTTACCTGCTGGAGTTCAACTTTCTGTGCATTCAGCTGCTCCTGCTGTCGCTCCAGCTCCTCTCTCTGTTTTTGAAGATCAACGGTCCTCTGATTGAGGTCCTGTTCTTGCTGAGCCAGATGCTCCTCGAACTCTCTCATCTCCTCATCTGTGTAGGCCTGATTCTGCTCCAGAGTCTGACCAAGAATACAGTAGGAAATCATTTCAACAGGTATGCATGTATGTTTATGCTAATCGTTTTAGCATAAACGCTTAATATTGCTACAGTCTCGTGCCGTTTCTCACCTCCCAGCTATCTGGTTCCAGGAATTCCTTTTTCTTTGTAGCAACCAGAAACTCATCTAAAGACACCAACCTGTCTTTGTTGGAATCCACCTAGACCAGAAAGCTTAGAGTGAGCATTTCAGATCAGACTCGTCTCAAACGACAAGCTCATGGCATTGGGCTGAACGTCAACACGCAGACATCAAAAAAGAGGTACTCATCATGCCCATTAATATAAGCAACCCAAACTTTATCACAGGGCTCCATAATGTTATGCTGCCACTTTATTATGTACAGCCATTCAATTGGTTGTTGCCACAAACAGTGAATCAGCCAATCACAGGGCAGCAACTCAGAGAAAAGAGACGTGATTGGTGTAAAAGGAGACGGGATACAACAGCAGAGGATCACACCAGGTGCCTCTTCCAACACCACCAGAAACGACACCATGCCTCGCAAAGACTTGCTAAAACATTAGATAATAGCTTAAAGAAATGTTGAGTCTGGTGAGTCAGCTTCAGCCTAACTTTTATATAGTAGACAGGTTTCTGTCCTAGCGCTGTCTAATGGACGTAGGGCATTGTTACTTAGCAAACTTTGGTAAGTGACAAAGTTTGCTAAGTAACAAATGATATGTGGTTTGTACCAACCGCATATCATGAAACATGAAAGCTGACCACATCCCTTTGTGACCCCAGTGTACACTCATGTGCTGATGTTTTTTTCTCAGCAGGATGATGCACCATGTCATCATGTAAAACTTTTTAATTTTAAATGACAATTATTTTTACTTTTTTTTGTTTTTTTAATAGCTTGCAGAATCTATGCCACAAAGAATTGAAGCCGTTTGGAAAGAGAGAGGGTCCAACCCAGTATGAGTATAGAAAAAAAAGAAAAAAAAAACTTTTAAAATAAATTTTGAATGATGAAGGTTGTAACCCTCAGTTTACCTCGTTCATAACATGCTCTCTCATCCGCAGCCTCTCCTCTTCCATCTCCACCATATCATCCTCTTCATTGGTGGGGTCATAGATTTTTTCCAGCTGAAATGATACAGCAAGACAGATTGTATTAAATCAGTTGCTGAAATGGAGCATTTTTAGATGCTGTGGCTTTACCTCCTTGGTGAACAATGCTTCAAGCTCTTGTTCATCGAAGAAACCATCTCCATTAGTATCTGCATTTAAAGGGAATAAAACGAATGAAAGAAATGTATGCAAATTCTTATATTTGATTAAAAAAAAAAAAGAAAAAAAAGAAATGGCATTAAATGAAAGGCTGATAATCTTATTTTACGAAGCGACTGCTGGTGAAAGGTTTACCATGCAGGTTGAAAAAGGTCTTTGGATCAAAGTCCTCTGGGTCTAATCCATCAGCTTCCTCCCAAACCTCTTTTAGTTGATTTTGGCTGCCCTACGTCATGACATTAATACATTTCTCAGTTTATTTAAAACCATGTTGCAGACAGAAAAATAACGAATCAACTGTGATGTGAACACCACATTTTAATTGTAAAGCTTAAATCTTAAAACTAGAATATTGCAACGTGCTACCAGCTTTTTATATCCTTCTCCGCTCAATGCCACTCACTGGGTGGTTGACTTTAGGGTGATCCGCATGCTTCTTCTTCATCTCCTCGTAGTGCTCCTCCTCTTTCTTTCTCTGCTCCTCATCCAGAGTTTTCAGGTGCTCCCGCCTGTCGTGCTCCTTCATCATCTCATACCTCTTGAACTCCTCGTGCCTCTCTTTGTCGAAGTTTTCCAGATCATTCGTTGCCTGTAAGCAGGTGAAAACATTTAAAGAGGTTAAAAATGTAACTTTTTAAATGGAGCACAGGCTCCCTGAGCAGTTAATGACAGTGATATATAATGTGTGGTTTAGCAGTCTAGTCTACAAAGATTACTTGTATTCCTATTTTGCATTTCTTGTTGAGATTTCCTGAACAATTTATTATATTTCAGCCATGCCATCATTGTATGCATGTTGACTTCTGAAAATAAACCTTGAAAATGAGATATATCTGATTGCAAAACAAAATGTATCATTAAAAGCAGAATGCTTTTGTGCAACAACTTACTCTGAAGATATCTACTCTCAGGCGGATCTTTAGATAAGGTAAGGGTGAGTTATGTGACACAGGCAGTAATGCAAATTGAAACAAGCAGTAGGCATGCACAGATAAGCGAGTTGTTTTTCACAGTTTCAGTAATTTGACTCAAGGGTGACAACGAAAGTGTGTGTGAGGCTGTTCAATTCTGACTCTGAAGAAGATGATTTTAGTGGTTTTAGTGCACAAAAGGAAGATGAAGATGGCAATATATGACTTTTTCTGGTAGGCTATTGTATTTGTTCAATGTTTTTAAGAAGCCGTATTACAGGCACTGTTTGGAAAAATCATTTACTTTATGTATTTGTGTACGTTACCTTTACGCATTTCATTCAAAGGTTAAAAAAAATAAATAAAAATCTTTCCATGTAAACATCTCATGTTACCAACTGGACACCTGCTGCAGCTGACAACGCTGGAAGTTCATAATGTTAGTGGATGTATAATTTAGTCATTTTATTTTGCTTTCCAGGTCAACTCTATAATTTGGAAATTATGTTACTGTATGATTTATGTTCTATATACGTGACAAAATATTATAGAGGCAGATTTTACCGATTTAATGAGCCGATCCAGATCCTCAACTTCAAAGGTGTGTGGGTTCATGTGGTTCAGGTGCTCAAACTGCTTTAGGAGAGCCTGGTGGTCCACAGCTATGTCTGTTCAAAAGGTTAATGTCTCAATATTTAAAATCAAGACAAAATATAAACACTTTTCCCAACAATAGGAATAAATATTTTAAGGGTGTAGCATTCAATTTAAAAAGTAAAAGCATAAAAGTGATATACAGTTTTGCTGAGCCTCCTACCATTTCCTCCTTCCAGATCATGCTTGGCTTTAATCAGAGTCCGCAGTCGGTTTACTTCCTGCCTTTTCAATTCGTCTAGTTTTGTTCTGACATGATGGCTGACAAAGTCCAGTTCTTGAGCCAGCTTACCTTGCTAAAAAAATCAAGGAAAACAAGGAGGGGCAGATGTTTCTCTGAGGAGGCATGTCTTAACACATTACAGATAATTTTGCTTCTAAATATGAGATTAACAAAGCGGTTAGGTGGTGTTACATAAGATTTTCAAAGCATTATGACAGTGTTACAGCCAAGCAAGAGATACACAGCCTACCTTAATGTCCTCCATGTCTGTATTGTGCAGCTTTTCTCTGAAATGCTGATCTTTCTCAAGAAAATCAATTACTTCCCTGAGATAGCGGTCATAGTGGAGTCCAGTGTCCTGTAAAATGTAACAAAGTTGTCGGTTAAACCTCTAACCAAACCAATACCGATTATATACACTGCACAGGGGCCATTACTTTTAATATGTGTTATATGACACATAATTTTGTGTCATAAAGTAACAGATTCTTTTTAAAAACTGGGTGAACTAACTACTGTTAACTGTGTTTTGCTTACAAGAAAAGAGGGGTCTGACATGGCTTCAACATAATTACACATTAATTAACGTCTATGTTTTCATGGTGGTGCTTGTTGTGTACGAGTCATGTGAATTTTTACCACACTGGCTGGTGGCTCATCAGGCTTCTTCTCTGTCTCTTTTACTTTTGTCTTGTCGATGCCGATGGGAACAGCCTGCAGGTACTGAAGCTGCACCAGCAGCAGAACCCAGCCGGTGAGAAGAGCCCGGCTCCAGCACATCTGGGCATAAACATAAACACACACATTAAAACACTAGCCTGAATTAATTCACAGATTTAATCTTTGCACTACATAATTCAAATTAAAATCCGCCTGTTCCCGTGTATACATTTGAGTAAATATGTTTCGAAGCTTGCCTTTACATTGGTGGCTAATTATAAACTAAAGGAAGCTGTTGATGGTAGCTTTAGCTACCCCTGTCAAATTTGGCATAAAAAAAAAAACAAATCAGGAACTAGTTTAACGTTGCCTTGATGGTCCGAGCCTCACAGTTTACAGTAATAAACGTGTCAAAGAGGTTTCAGAGTAATGTTATCGGATTAACTAACAAGGACCACTGTCATGTCATTAAATACTCACTTTAATGTGAACCCTGTCCCCCATCTGCTCTGCTGCCCTGTCGTTACTCCCTCTCAGCTGGACCTGCCTCCGCAGCTAACTGGCTAGGCAGCATGGTAGGTTGTGCGGCAGATAGCGTTACCTGATTGGCTACTTTTGTGAAAATGAACAGCAGGTTGCGTTGCATGGAATAGTACGTGGCGACATGACGGCAGAACAGGTGGGCGTTCCGTCTTCTTTATCAAGTGGGGGGCGGGAGGGATTCAGGAAGCAAAATTAACTTTTTATGTGTTACTATTGTTTGGCATAAAATGATGGTGCTTCTAATTCCAGTAATTATGTTCAGTAACGTTTTATACTTAGTTTAAACACGTATTTTTCCACTTCAGTCACTCATAGTTTTGCCATTTCCAAGATGACTGGCAAATTGTTTTTGCTGGTTTGAGTGCAAGTCCTTGAGTTGGTTGAGTCACTGAACTGGTGCATTTCATAAAATAGATTGCATCATGAGGAAAGAACATTATGTAGAAACATTGAAGCAACATAGATATCAGCCAGGAAATTAAAGCTTGTGGTCAAATGGACAACTACCTCCATACGGCCAAAGTAGTTCTGAGTGGGTCAAGGACAACAAACTAAATATTTTGGAGTGGTCATCTCAAAGTCTTGATCCCAGTCCTCTTGGGAATTTGTTGATAGCTCTGAACAAGCATGTGCAAGAGAGACAGCCCACAAACCTGACTCAGTTTCACCAGTTCTGTCAGAAGGAATGGGCCAGAATTCCAGCAAATTACTGTGAGAATCTTATAGAAGGAAACCTAAAATTTTTGTCCCAAGTCAGATAGTTCAAATGTAGTGCTGCCAAATCCTGAGGAAAGGTATGTTTTCGTACCTTTTGATTTCGAAGGTATGAATACACAAATCTCTGACAGATTCTCCCTTTCATTATTGTGGCACTTAATAATTAGAAATAATTTTGCTAATTTTAACCATCTTAAAACAGGAGGTATTTGTTTTTCTGACAGTGAGAAAAAACAAAACAAAAAAAAAACATAAGATATCTATAAATTATGATGCGTATGTTTTTTTTTTTAATGATCAGCACAATTTTCAAATTTCACACTATCATCCTGATTAAATTATTTTAGTAAAATCTTTGATAGTAGCGTTTTAACTGACAGGATTTTTATAGAACATAACAGTGAAAATGGCTTTAAATTATTATTATTATTATTATTATTATTATTATTGTTGTTGTTGTTGTTTTCTAATCAGGTTTTAGTGTTTCCATGAAATTTACAAGGTGTGAGTGTTGAAAACGGCATTATTTGCTTTGCTTATTCCAAAAATAACTTCTGTGTGCAGAATCCCACAAAACTGCATTGCGGTCCAAGCTTTCACTCAGCTTAAGAATCAGCTCACTGTGATTAATGGGTCCAAGTCCACCTCTGTAGTTCTGCTCAACGGCCTCTTGGGGAAACCTGACACGAGACCTTGTGGCTCTGCTTACAGATGAGCAGACTTCTCACAGCTGAATTATCATCCGCTGGCCAATGAAAGTAATGATCTGAAGTTATTATGATTGTTTTTTTACACTGACTTGAATTTGTATTGGGTAAAGTTTGTAATCATGTTTTGTTATTTTAAGAAATCCTGTCTTTAATTGTCTGTAACAGATTTTCCTACAGTTGATCACATCCCAAGTTAATATCTAATGAAAAATATATACACTGCTCAAAAAAATAAAGGGAACACTCAAATAACACATCCTAGATCTGAATGAATGAAATTTTCTCATTGAATACTTTGTTCTGTACAAAGTTGAATGTGCTGACAACAAAATCACACAAAAATCATCAATGGAAATCAAATTTATTAACCAATGGAGGCCTGGATTTGGAGCCACACACAAAATTAAAGTGAAATGTTCCCTTTATTTTTTTGAGCAGTATATATATTTAAAAAATTAGCAAGGCTTAGCATGTAAGTATGCTGTCTCTCCAGAAGAGGGCGGAATTGTGCTTAATTTATCCTACGCTACAATTCTTATGCTTCAAACTGTTCTGAAGATATAGCATAAAAGTGATATCTGATCTTTACTATGCTAGAAATAGGAATAACATTTATTTTCTTCAAAACAAAATTGTTTATTTTTCTGTTACTTTGTTTTAATTGAGAGTCTTACTACAACTATTTAAATCCTTGTTTTGTTGATTTTGTGGCAAATAAAAAATACGGTCCCCTACAGTATCTAGCAGCATATGATTGGCACAGCTCAGATAAAGATTGGCACTTAGTTTTATAGATATTATCTTTCTACTAAAACTGTGACTGCTGACGTGAAAAAAAAAAAAAATCCAAATTTACTATTTATGAGCCTTGGCGGGCACAGCAAGGTAATAAATCTAGTTTCTCTCTGGATGAGTGAGCTTATGACTAAATGTTACATTCCTGCCCTGTAGATGTCAGTGTAATAGTTCAGTGAGCTGCGAGGTAATTAATCAATGTCTTAAGATCATAACCAAATTGGAAATGAGAGAAAGCTCTATAGAGAGTATGACGCTGATCAGCACTTCTTCTTTTTTTCATCAGCTATATGTTGATTAAATGTGCTGCAGACCAAAAACAAAGGAAGATTACTGTGTTGGTAATTTACAGTGTAAGAAATGCTCTCATTTGGAGAGCATTTCTTACACTGTTGGCATTAAGGGACACTTTAAACGTGAGCTTCTCAGAGAAAGACGGTAATGATTTTCGATGAGAGGTTGTGCCAGATAAATTAGAGACCAAACAAGCTGCAGATCATTGCAAAGTGAGATTAAAGAAATCTTTGTTTCGTTTTCTGCTCAGCACCTCCACTAAGCCGTGATTCAGCAGGAAGAGACTCTCTGAGGAGAAGACGATAACATTGAGTCACCTTGCTGCATTGTGAACCTCTGGCAGCCCAGAGGCAGGATTCAGCAGCAGAGAATCCACTGCAGATCTGCACTGGACTGCACAGCAACTGCATGTGTGTGTGTGTGTGTGTGTGTGTGTGTGTGTATGTATTTTCTGTGAGTAGATTAGTATGTACAAATGAAGGTCTGTATGGTGAAACGATGATAAATCATAACAAGGTCAAATAACAGCAACTGAGTACAGCAACGACATGATTACGCTGCAGTATACAATGCAACAGTCCTGCTGCTACCCTTCATGTCGCAGACGACTTGAGGGATGGGCGACTATTTTTGCAAATGCAAAAATGTAATGCTGATTAGTTCAGCTTCAGACTAATTAAAAAAGTTTTTAGTTTATGCAAATCTTTTCTGTTCTTAAGTTGACCCACTGTAACAATGCAGAGCACTGCATGCAGAGCACTAAGATGCAGTAAATTTTCTCATGCAATCTGCTGCACTTATGCGGTGCTGCTTTGACGTTGTGTCATATTAGGAACACAATGTATAATTTATATATGACTGAGAAGTAGATTACATGTGTATCCTGTCTATGGCATGGTCTGGGATTATAGCTGGTAAATAAATTGAAATGAACAATATATCAGAATTACAATATCATAAAAAATTGATATACGTATTCTGTCGATTAACAGCATAATGTGATATTTTCTGGGGGACGTGGGGAGTTTCAGGTTCATTCAATTATAGTTTTCAGCTAATGGTAAGTCCAAATTGAATTAATCTAAAAACATAGAATATTATAATAGACCAATGAAAAAAAGTATGTTTTATGATTAAACAGAAATCTTGTGTTATGACCCAATTATAGGGAGGACTCTGACTTTTCAGCCACAAAATATATTTGCTAAAGAAGCTGGCTATTCACAAAGTGATCAAAGTGATGCATCTAAGCACCTTGATGAAAAGTTGAGTGGGGGCTGGGGGGAAGTAAGGTTAAAAAAAAATGTCAGAGCCACAAACTGATCACCTCCATGCCACGCTGCATTATTGCATGTAAAAGGAGAACAGACCAAGTATTGAGTGCATCAGTAAAGCTTCCCCTTTCCCCCCACTCAGCTCCTCCAGACTAGTGGCGGCAGCCATTAGCAAACACCCGGTGGAACTGCATGTCTGCTGAACTTACCATACCAACTACTTCTCAGTCCAGCATTCCTAAAACTGCGATTGTAAACGGCATAATAGAGAAGTATAGTTGTGATGACATGCTGAAATAGGATTGTTGAAAAGGGTAGCAGCTTCTTAAAGTGACAGAAGCCAATTTCAAGTCATCAGATACAGCTATGCTACAAAGCCAAATGTTTTTATTATTTTTTACACAGTATTTTCATAGCAAATGATAGTAACATGTTACTGTCATTTGCTATGAAAATACTGTACAGTTACTAGGATTTGCTATAAAATAGCACTATGTGCCTGGAAAATACATAACACCTCCCAACCTCTCTAGTGAGCTGGTTTCTCAGGCACACAAAGAAATGTTTAATCTCCCATTATCTTTGAGGAACAGAGCCATAAACCACTCTGTAGCATTTCAGCAAAGCCAACGTAGAAGTGAATCATAAATCAAATATTTATTGTGTTGTTGATCTCTTTTCTGACCCCATTTTCCCATCAAAAGACACTCAAAGTTTAATGGAGTCAACATTCTACAGAAAACTCATGACACCCAGAGATGAGACATTGTTTCAACTCTTTCTATGACTGACAAATCAATGGGATGCAATGAAAAGATATTACCCAGAGGGAACTATTACTTATTAATTTCAAATACATGATTTATTCCCAGTAAAGGAGCTTTTTTTTTATGATGATGTAACACTTTGCCACCTGTCTCTCGAAGCTCAGTAAAATAACTCTTGTGACAACACTATGCCCTGACATTGAACACTGCCTTCCCAGCCCTGAAGTGCAATTTATTGACAGAAGTGCTAAATTGAGCAGGCCTATTTGATGCAGTGTAAGCAGTTTTTTAATGTGTCATGGTCAGACAAGTCCGCTGTCCTTAAGGCATGACCGCAGCAAAGGCAGTTTGAAGCAGGCAAACTACAAGTCCTCCATACAACTGCTGCAAGAACACACACTTGAGAAAATAGTTTCACCAAACGTAGATATGCTTTGGCAGATGATGGACATCAAGGCCATATGCTTCATCTGGATTTGTTGGCTTTCTTGCTAAGGTATTCTGAACGTGCACATACAATATTTAGGTGGTATGTTACACTGGGTCCATAGTTTCATTTGGATGATTATGGCTTGCAGGTAGTGAAAGCCTAAAAGTAAAATATCTCAGAAAACAATGATATTGTGAAAAAGTTAAATACTGGAAATTTATGAGTCCTTAGCAGCCACTTAACTCGCCTAAGTTCCTGAGCCTGTAAATGGCCTCTCGGTCTGGGTTAGTAGCCTGCACAGTCACAGGGAAGACAGCTGACTTGACGGATGTTGAGAACAAGTCAATGACAGTCATTATTGGAGGGGAAGACACAAAAAGCCATTTCCAAAGAAGCTGAATTTTTCAGAGTGCTAATGTTTCTTCTAAAGGTAAATAAAGCATTAATCAGAGAAGCAGGAGGAGGAGAAGCATTTGTCATTGGCAAGACAACTATTAGTTGTGCATATAAATTTGGTCTTGATAGAAAAGTGCCAAGATTATTGAAAGTAATAAAAAGTCCGTTTTGCGGTGTTCTACATGCCACGAGGGGGACACAGCAAACTCGCTTTTGGCTTACATGCAATGTGTGCTGGAAAATAAACAACCTTAACACAGCATCCATGGGATGAAACATGGCAGTGGTAGCACCATAATGTGGAAATGGTTTTATTAAGCAAATAAAGAGAAGATGGAGTAGAGTTGAATGCAATGTGTTAAAAGTACAGCCATACAATAAATCCAACTGAGAATCTTTGGAAAGACTTTAAAAGACATATTCTTTCCATCCAATGTGACTGATTGATTTTGCAAAGAAGAACTGACAAAAAAGAAGTAATTGTTGTGAAGATGTGCAATGGTAGAGACACAAAAACACATCTGTAATTGCAGTAAAAAGTGGTTGAAGCAAGTTTGATTCAGGGGAAATGAATACATTTGGATGATGCACGTTTCAGATTTTTGTTTGCAAAAAAAAAAAAAAGTTTCCTTTTCCTCCCACTTCCCAACTACTCTGTGTTAGGTTTTGTCACATCACAAATAAAATACACTGCTGTTCGTTGTTGTAATGTAACAAAATCCAACAACAGCACAAAGAGTTTCAGTACTTTAGCAGTATGGAACAATCGTTCTCCGGTTGGACTTTTTAAATATTTTTTCTCTGGATGAACTTAATCTTCTTCCAGACCTCTCTCTGCTTTGTGAACGAACAGCTGGGAGGACTTTGGTGGTGGTTCTGTGTGGCTCACTTCTTCTTCTTTTTTTTTTTGGTATTCTTCCCCTTTAAAAAAAAAAAAACCCGCTGCCCTGGAGGTGGTATTATCTGGACTCCATGGAAAAAAAAAGTCTTCGGAGTGGGGAAGGACGGGGAGGGGGGCAGTAGCCGAGCCGGAGAAGAGGGATCATGGCGGCACCTCTCGGACGGGACACTCTACCTGACAACTGGTCGTACGGAGTTTGCAGAGATGGACGGGTCTTCTTTATTAAGTGAGCGGCTCTGGGTCTTTAAGCCTACTTTGCGGGGCATTTTTAACCCTCCCTGTGGAAGTCTGTTTTGGCTCTTTTCTGTTTTTTTTATTTTTTTTTTTATTACCCCTTCAGTAACAGGTGTCTTTCTTGCAGCGATAAAACTCGTGGCACTACTTGGCTTCATCCACGCACCGGCGAGCCTGTTAACTCGGGACACATGATACGATCAGGTAGGCTGCAGATAAATGATCTGATTTGCGGGATCCCCGGCGGGACCCTGTTGCTGCAGCGTGCTTTCTTTCTGTGTGGTGGGTCCGCTCAGTATGCTCTTTTTTTTGTTTGTTTTTTCGTCTTGCAGATTTGCCGAGAGGATGGGAAGAGGGCTTCACGGAAGAAGGAGCCAGTTACTTCATCAAGTGAGTGTGTATTTTTATTTTATTTCTTTTATTTCTGCCGTGCATTTTCCTCTAAATCGCTTGTTTCACGTGGACTGGGGCTTCTGCTGCTATGCAACACGCTTGGTCTGTTGCAGGTTTGTGAACACTAATTTATCTAAGGAGCTGCATGTAACCTACAGGGCATATGACACAAAAAACACAAAGACACATGGATTAACACAGGGATCTCATTTGATAGGTGAAACCAATTATCTCGGTCTGCACTGGGAGAGGAAAGTAGCAAAGCCTTTGCAGGACAGACTGAAAGCTATTAAAATTCTCCTCACATCCTCCATGCAGGACCTCTACTCCCTCTCTCTCTCTCTCTCTCTCTCTCTCCATTAGATAGGTGTGCAATCTATGTGTGTGTGTGGCAGTGAGTGAGAGACTGTAAAGGTTGCAGGAGAGGGGTGTGACCATGTGGTGACAGAGATGTATGGCATGATTGCATTACTGAAGGGAGGGAGGACTGAATTTTCAAAGTCACACACACACAGAACGATGGAGTTTCCTTTTTGTCAGATGTTCACACACTTCCCACTTTAACTTCATTATTCATGTTCAAGCTGCACGGTGAATTGCTGGTTAGTGTTTTCCCGGAGCAGAAAGGTCATAGGTTCAAATCTTGATTAGAAAGCGGCCGTCGTGTACGAAGTTTGCCTGTTTTGTAGTGTGTGTATGTGGTTTTAAGTCACATGTGTCTCTATAATTGACTGACTCTGAAGAGGACAGTTTGTTTTAATGAAGACTAAATAAGTATTGGCAAATGTTTTCTCTAAAATACTGGATTCTGGTTCCAATATTAGAAAAAGGAACAAATACAGAATAATTTTAAACTATTTAGATCCCTCTCACCAGTTCTTTTCACATTACAACCACATATGTTAATATGTTTTATTTGATTTTAAATGATAGACCAATGCAAAATAGCACTTCATTCTGAAGCTCTGAGAAATCATAAATCTTTTTTTTTTTTTTTGTTGATGTTGTTTTGTTTTATCAATAAAAACTTTTACTGGTAAAATTAAGCTTTTGCCAATTATCTCTGTCTGCCCTGGGGGACACAGGTGTTTTCAGCCAATACTTTCTAGCTTTTGTCTTTTATTGTATGTCCCGTCCAGGTTTGCACATCAATTTTCAAGTCTTGCCACATATTCACCTGGAATTTGAATAGGCCATTCGAAAACACTGATTATGCTTTGACCAAAACTACTTCATAGTAGCCCTGGGTGATTGTTTTGGCTTGTCATGTTTTGATAAAAACTATTTTCAAAACTTTGTTTTGGAATTTCTAGTAGTCCTTTCTTCAGGATTGCCTGTCTTTACCTCATTTGATATTGCCAAAATTTCTTACGTCTTTCCTGCACCTCTGTCAGAGGAAAAGAATCATCTTGGCATATTGCTGCCACCATCATGTGTTACTATTGTCAGCATTGCAACCTGTATGATTATTCATCACAGTGATTCATCACCGTAGCTTATTTAATTTTACTGTCCTCTCAGTTTTTCCCAGTTGTTCCAGACAGAGAACCTGTATTTGTGGC